TTAGCGTGACCCTAATCATTGGTCATATGACAGATATAAAACATAACACATCTTCAAAGCATTAATGTTTTCTTCCAGGTGAGTTTTAATTTCTCTATGCACTCTAAACACAAGGTAAATATTGTTAATAAGCATTACTGTCATCTCTGTCTTTTGGCTATAAATGTATTTCAATCAGTGCTAAGAGAAATTAAAACTCACCTCAAAGAAAACATTAATGCTTTTTTTTCACCTGTTTTACAGGTGAAAAAAAAAAGAAAATTAAGGAAATTAGAAATGTTATCCTGGCAAAACCCTTTTTTCACAGGTCCAGTTAACATTTAGGAAGATCTATTGGCAGAAATTGAGTATAATATTCAAAGGTATGTTTTTCATTAGTGTATAATCACCTGAAAATAAGAATAAATTAATAAGCCATTATCTACAGAGGGAACGGGTCCTCTTCCACAGAGGATGTTGATCCGCCATGTTTCTACAGCGTCTACAAGTACAGAATTTTTCACGAGTTTTGTGGCCACAGTAGTTTTGTTGTGGTGTTCAGTTCGTTGAAATTTGCAAACTTCACTGCTAGATGCCGCTAAACCTTTCACACTGGCCATTTAAGTCATAAACACAAGAGCTAAAAAAAAATTAGATTAGACTTAGTAAATCGATCACCAGAATTGTTTTTCTCACTCGCCTCTGAGGGCTTCTGTATTTTGTGTAAACGGCTATGAAAAGATCCTTGGGAATGATTTTCACTACTCTGACTCCAGTGCCATGCAACTAACTGATGTCCCGTTTGCTACAAGACAATCAGTGTGATGAGAGCTCATTAATGGGTAATTCAGCCAATAAGCTTTCATAAACAGCTACCCATGATACATTTTTGTAAGCCATCAGTGTAACCACTTATATGTAAGACAACAAATAACAGGAAAACAATTGTGTAACTCAAGTTAAAGCATCTAATGCATGAAAATAATGCCATCAAATTACTCCAAGCAAACCAGAACAGCTAACCATCTGATTAAACTGGGTTTTGTAATAGCAGTTTTTCGCACAGCTAGTTGTAATTTTTGTTTAAACAACCTACTAACAGTAAAGGGAATGGTGCAATCTACAGGAATCCGTTTCAGTTCCGAGTTTAGCAGGTTCCACAATAACCTGCCTCTCTCTCTCTCCTTATCTAGGTCCACACTTTGTTGCCGTGAACAACAAGAATGAAATTATTGTGACAGATTTTCACAATCACTCTGTGAAGGTAAGTCATGCTTTCTCCTGGACTCAAAGGATGAATTGTCTCTGAAGTTGCCACAAGCTTAATGTACTAATGTAGTATTCCTTTATTTAGATGCATGTTGATTTTCTATAGTTTACAGTGGATTATATTTATCTCCATTTAAGTGCACATGGAGAAGTAGACAAAATGTGTTTTTTACTGACTTCCTGTCCCAGGTGTACAGTGCAGATGGAGAGTTCTTGTTCAAATTTGGCTCTCATGGTGAAGGCAATGGCCAGTTCAATGCTCCTACTGGTGTGGCTGTAGATGCCAACGGAAACATCATTGTCGCTGACTGGGGTAACAGCAGAATACAGGTGAGATGGGTTATATTCTGTCTGCTAGCAACTTCACAACATTAAGACTCAGAACTTAGGTTTTTTTCACTTTTATAAACAGTGGGGTCATACTTAAGTTAGAAAGAATAAGTTACATTAAATCATGAAAATGCTATGAAAAAGGAAACGTTATAATAAAAAGCACAATAATAAATTTTGTTTGTAGAACAGCAGCTTAGTAAAAGGTCCAACATGACTCTAACCTTTTGTGTGTTTTATTATTTCAGGTGTTTGACAGCACAGGCTCCTTCTTATCTTACATTAACACATCAGCAGACCCGCTGTACGGCCCCCAGGGCCTCGCCCTCACCTCAGATGGACATGTGGCTGTTGCCGACTCCGGCAACCACTGCTTTAAAGTTTACAGATATCTGCAGTAGGCTGAGGGAAGACATTCGCCAACACAACTCCTGCTTAGACTTCACATACTGCTTGTGGACATAGAGCTGCAATGTGCCTGCACACTTTTCAGTGGCTCCAAGTTCTACATGTTCATTTCCTTTTAATTTTGTCTGTACATACTTTAGAAGATCTATACAGAATCACAATCAGGTTTTAACATACAAGGAATTTGCCTTAGTATATTGGTGCATAATAATAAACAAAGCATGAGAAAAATAAAAATAAAGATGAAAGCAAGTACTGAAAGTCAAGAAGCATAAATAGAAAAAAAAGGAAACTGACAGTAACATATGATAAAATATTGTAAGGACAACAAAAGAGAATATAATAATAATAAAACAACCCAAACACAAAAAACCAAGTGTAATTCAAATGTTTTTTAGGACAATATGAGCTAGTTATTCCAAAAAATATTGAAATTATTGGAAGAAGTAACATGAATTCCCAATCTGAGAGAAAATAAATCCTATCCCAAGACTATCCTGATGAAATAATGTTTAAAATAGTGACTAAGGAATAAACAAATTTTGTAATTAGCTCATTTCCTATCTGATAACCCACGGTCTTTCTTCTTTAAACTTTCAAAACAAATCAAAAGGTGTTTCAGCTCTATGTCTCACTAGTAGGACCTTACTAGATAGCCTGCCAGTTACAAAGTTGGTGATACACTGCAATTTATTTGGGAAATTCAAATGGCAGCAACCAGCAAACAAAGCGAGATAGAAGGGGAAGCCTACTACCTGGTGATGCTTTGTGATTGAACAATGCTCAGGCCTTTCCTTGAACACTGTTGCATGTCACTGCACTCCAAAAAAAAATCGACCCTGTCGTCACTGCCTTCAGTTTCTCACCGGTGAACACAACAGAACACATGCAGGAATGTGTTATTCTCATTCTGCACCTTAGCAGTCTGACAAGATCCCTGCACATGGATACAGGGGTTGTTTTTTTTTTCTTTTCATCCCTTAGATAAGAGTGATATGCAAGTTTTTTTTTGTTTTGGTACCCAAAGACAAGCATCAAGAAGCACAACAGTTAATCCCACAACAAGGTTTCCGAACACATACGAATCAGCTCTTCAACATTAAGTTCACTCCCTTCTAGCTAATCTTTCTCTTCTATTAACCAAAACAAACTTCATATATCTAACCCCACTAGTTCTTGCACTTTCGTGTATTCATATCTACAACCTAATGTAGTTGTACATATGCATATTTAGGTGTATATATGGATTTGATGTCCATGTTATTTCACTATATAGCCTACGTATTCCGACACTTAATGAATCGAGGATTTCAACACTGGACCATAATGCTCACACAGTAGAACGTAATGCCAAGTAGTAGCCAACTGAATGACTTGCAAGCATCAATGGAACTAAGTTGTATACACATTATTTGCTGTGTTTTATTTTTTCAAAGGACTTAATTTATTTTTTATTTTATTTTCTACATGATTTGTTCTACAAATTATTTTTCTAATTGGTGCATTTGAACTGTCTCCTCTTTGCCAAACATCGTTGTACATAGGCCTTGTAACTTGTAGCACTGAAAGCCGCTCTCCCTCTCTCTCTCGCCTCTTCCCAGAGCTCACATCCAGTTAAACAGTAACTTTTCCTTCTGCCAAAACATATTGTTGTAAGTTGTTGTTGAACATTGCACAAAATACAAATATTATAAGAGTAATATAGTTTGCAAGAGTAATATATGCCTCTGTGTATAGTTATCATTTAACATAATCATAAAGTATACTGTATATTACAATCATATTCTTGTTGTAGCTGACAAGCACCTTTTATCATGGATTTTTGTATTCATTTGCTTGGTAGTTCAGTGTTTTGAAGGTTTAATGTGTGGAGGAACACAACACCAGCTAACACGCAGTGACAGAGAACATTTTTCATCTGCATTATGAATAAACTGTCTGTCCCCGATAATTAATGTGTAATTCATTCTGTCCTTCCATCGGCATTTCCAGTTTATTGGAAAGCTCTCTGTAATGACCGATTTAGTTGACTTGCCTCCTCCATCAATTGGACCCCATGTGTTACTATGTTTTATTTTGTTTTTTATGTTTGTCTGTCACTGTAACTGACCTAACTCATGTCTGTGTGAAATAAAGGAAGCACATAAATGAAAGACTGTCAACCATCTCGTGTAGCCCACTGTATACTAGAAGAGGCCAGTCTTACAAGAAGTACCACACACACGCCACACATTTATGTAATCAAGGCAAATATATGATTGTAAATATTAAAGAATGACACTATGAACTGTTGTACAAATAGTCTTTTTTTGGTGTAACAATATTTCAGTTAATGAATGCATTCGTGTTTTCTTTTTCAACATATTAAAAATCAGCGTGCCCTTGTCTCTTGCTGACATGAGTCTGAATATCTGTAAGGTAATATAAGCAGCGATTACAGTTTGTGCTCCTGATAATGCTGTACTGTTTTCGTGTGTCCTCTGTTGAGGGAGATCACAGGCATCACCATGGAAACCAAGTTGTCCACAGAGATGCAGCTTATAAACATCAGACCAGCGAGTAGACGTATCACCCACGTTAATGTATTTGTAACAGTTAACTATTTATATTGCCCTTTATTAAAACCACATCTCTGCAAAGAGACAGGAAAATAAGTTAGTGCTAAGTCATTACTAAAGCAGGAGGAGGAGATGGAAAGAGCTGTTTTTCTCACCTCCTCCTTGAATGTTCTGGCAGTATGAAAACTGAATCAGCAACACCAAACTGCTATTCTGGTCCAACATCCTCATTTAACCATCAAACAGAGAGCAATAGTCCTCTAGAAAAAACCTCTTACTCTAAGCAGCAGCCTGGTCATTGCAGAGTCAGTAGCTGGGGTGTTTGGATGCAAATGAAAGAACCCTTACCGGAAACCTACAGGAAAGGTCAACATGGTTATTCAGGTATACAGATCTGACCATCTAACAGCCGGTGCACCTACTAAACTACTTCTACCAGAAGGAAATGGTTTAATATACTGATACTGCAAAGTAATAAAAAAAATCTGAACGTCTTCCTAAAATCTTGGTCCAATTTCAATAATTCAAAGAGTTGAATCTCACAACTGGCTAACTATGTCGTAATATCAGAGATAACTAATTCAGCAGGTTTTGACTCCACTAAGTTTGCACTGTGGGAAAATTAATTTGATTTAAAGCCAAATTACAGGCCATGAATACATTTTGATGTACTGCTGACTTTATATCACAGATTGGCAATTTCAAACAGAGGTAATAGAGAAAAGTGGGTAAAACAAGTGGATATATAGGCGTTCAAGAAATAAAACACAAGTCTTTTTCCTCTTTTAATCTCATTGTAAAGTCTGAGAAACACTAAGCACATTCATAGCAGGTGAAAGGGCCACAAACAGGGAGTACCAAGAGTATTTTTCTTTTTTTTTTTCCCCCCCCCCCCTCACACTTATCAAGACACAGCCCCAAAACTGCTATGTTGAATACACAAATGAAATCCAGAGCTGAAATGTATGTTCATTAAATGAGGTATGCAATCTTAGACAAAACAATAAGCAAATACTCAAAAGTTAAAGAGCACAGAGTTTTCCAGTTCTAACACGTGAACATTTCAGACGTCTAACTGAAAAAAGGAGCAATTTCATTGGCCACACCTACGGCCAATCTCAAATATCATCATGCTCTTAAATGTTTCTATTATGCTCCTCAATAAGATCATTTGAAAAAGAAAAAAGAAAAACAAAGTCACTGTATGACCCTGGAAGATGGCAAACATCCCACATGTAGGTTCATAGCCGCACTGTGGGGCAATGCACCTGGCAAAATAAAAACCCAGAGAGATCTCAAATAAGAAAATATTTAAATATACGTATATGAAGGAAGGAAAAAAAAAAAATTACACAATTGTCTAGATACATGTAGTTTTACATTCAAAATCAAATAAAACTGCATTAATTGATAGAAAATAAAAATCAGAAAGACGAGTAGGATAAAAAGACGCTAAGAATGTCAGACCACGGTCGACGAGCTAGCGATAAGACTAGAGACGGAGGATTGTGTTAAGAGAAAAAAATGAAAAAAGGTCGCGAGAGTCCATAAGGTTGGAGGACATGCTGCAAGTATGTTAAAAAGAAAAAAAAAAAACACACATGAAGAACTTCAGTTTTCATTTTAGTAAACCTGGACTCTTGGCTGTGAATCCTGACAGTTGTGGATGGAATGTCTTAAATACATCTAAACGTTCACCCATTAAGTGACAACATATTTGGGGATACGGCTGCAAATCTTAAATTGCCATTAGAATATTTTATAACCATTTGCTTTGTCTTACATCTGCTCATTCATAGGCAGACTGATAAAAATGTTTCAGATTTTTTAAAAAATACCTCCAACAAAGCAAAATGGCATGACCTCACGCCTTCAGTATCACTGCTTACATAAAATAGGCTGCAAAATGTGACCCAGAGGAATATACAGAGGAATTTGCGAGTCCAAAAGTGTCGACAAAGTACATCATAATAAAAAAAAATACATAAAGATGATTTTAAAAGTCTAATGATAAAATTATTTGAGCTGACGTTAACGTCCACAAAACAACTTGTTCCTGGAAATCTAACAATAGTCTGAGAGGTGAAATCCCAGTACAAGCTGGCCAATTTGAGTCAAATAATTCTAATCAGCGCCGACTGTTCTTCAGCCTAGAATTAATGACGGAATCTTAACTGTCAACAGCTATCAATGTGATAACCGTGTCTCATGCCCTTCAAGTTCTACCTAACAAGGCAACAGCACGGACCCTGTCTGGCAAAAACGTAGTTAATGTACAGTAGTATGGCATAGCAGTTGCTAACAGGATAAGAGCTGTACATGCTCTGATCAACAAGAGCATCTGAGGCATCTGCATCCCAGCAGACACAGTGATATAGACAGCAAAGCACCTCTCCAAAAACCCCCCAGCCACAGTAGCCAGGGGTATAAACCTACAGTGTGTGTCTAGGTTGAAAGATACTGAATTTCAAATTTTCTATTCCAAAAAGAGAATAAAGTAAGTTCTTCCTTACAGCCGAAGTGTGACAAGACACCTGGTAATTCTTATTCAGTATTAATTCCTATTTTCAAACACTAGTAAGACCAACAAGTAACAGCTCAAATGCGTACAGTACATGGCTGAAGGGTCAACATCACCCTGGCTCTCCAGTCTGGTCTGTGAGATAAAACCTTGCTGGGCCGCAACAGGCAAATCTGAAAACACCGGCACACTCGAGTTTACGCTTAGATAGCTAAATTTAAACACTCATCACAGCTCTCTCAGTAATAGTGGCATATCTGCAGCCTGCTGCCTGGGTCATTCTTTCCTGGGCTGAAGAAAGGATACACAGGCTCTTCAAAGCAGGTGTCAAACATGTACAGTCTCTTCATTGTGACGGCATCATAGAAACTAAGACGCCCATTGTCGTAGTCCAGGTACACGCCGACCCGAGGAGAGTTCCAGTAATCGGCGACAGGGATGCGCCCGTCCTCTCCGTTGGCATACAGCCGGTCCTGCAGACACAGGCTCCAGTACCCTGCGGAGGGAGTGAGGCTGACGAAGCCCTTTCTGTTGCTGCACTCGGTGGTGACTCCCAGGTACCACACACCTTTGTCCTTCACATCCACCTCCCAGTAGTGCTGGCCGCTGGCGTACTGGGCTGTGGCAAGGACGCCGCAGAACCGGGTGAAGCGAGCTGGCAGGTCTGGCTCCTGGTTGCGAACGCGGCCCTCCTCCACTTTTGTGTCAAAGTCTGAGATGAGCAGGTTTGGGTGAGCTGTGTCTGGGTCTAAGGTGAGGTTCTGAGGCACTACACAGACAGACAGGGAGAGATTAGCTCACCTTGCTCTTACATTGACTGAAGCTGGCAGCACATTTGGAAAAAAGAGAAAAATACGTCATTTAGGCTCACATTCACACCAATTTAGACTCTCCAATGAACCTACATGTCTTTGGACTGTTGGTGGAAACAGCATCTGAGATACAGGTCCATATGAAAGTCAGAACAAACTTTTAAATTAGGCCTTTTAGATTTAATGAGTAAAAACTTAGCAACTGGCTTGCTTATTTCTGATCTCACATTTGTTTAGAAACAGATTTTAGTGGACTAAGTGGAAGTTTACGCAGCCTAATTTATTCATTCAGGGCACAGAACCACTCCAGTGGTGGCGTAGATGACATGGGAATAATATGTTGTTAAATTAAGTTGAATAAATAGGATTTATGTAGGGGAAATAAACAAAAGCTTGCTGATGCCATTGTGCTGTGCTTTATTTTACAAAAATTCAAATTGGATTTATATATATATATATAAAATAACTATACTATACTATAATAAAATAACTCACTGGTATGCAGCACGTGCATCATCTTCTTCCACATGATAAGCTGGAAGGGCCCTGAGAAGTCTGTAAATTCAGTCTGACAATTAACCGTCTCGAGGGATGTGAATGGCTTGCAATGGATGACTCTGTGGAAGAAAGATTGAATAAAGGTTTAAAGTCATTTTCAAAATGGATTTTTATAGGTCCATATCAAATAAACAACTGTAAGTTACTTACTCATTGAATGTGTCAGAAAGGCTCTGTTGGAAGAAATAAAAATAAATAAATATTGAACACGCGTCATGTTTTCCTCAAGTGAATTTTGTTTGTGTACAGTCAGTTTTAAAATGCAATTCAAAACACGAGTAAGCTTCATAACACGTTTAAGCTTCCGTTCACACCAACAGAGTTCCCAAAATAAAATGTTCCCATCTACCATTTCAAGGATGCATTCTGAAAAAATAAATCAATTCAGTGTAGTATTTATTCATGATCCTTATTGCACACTGACCGAAACATTATCCATAGTTACTGTAGAGCTCTAGCAGAGGCATGGTCTTTTAGGAGTCGAATCACCTCTGATATGTTAGACTGACCTCAAAGCTAGTTTTCCCACTGATGTGGCTGTGGATATTAGCTATAGCTTTGTCCACAGCCGCCGCCTCCGTCTCCACAATCTTCAAGTTGTCGTCTATGACGGCCATGGTGGCCACTTCCTCTGCATCCAGGCACTCAAGCAGGGAGTCCCTTTCATCTAATAAGAATTGGACCAAGGCACCAACATCTGCTTCAATCTTCTCCTTGAGTCTCTGCTTCTTCAACTAGAGGATAGAGAGGTTCAGAGGACTAAGATAAAAGATTTGATGATGTATGATGTTCAATGTTAACAGTGTGTACCATAATGTTTATTTGTTTATTATATTATTATATTATATATTTAAAAAAAAAAAATCTATCTCTCAAGTACTTCTAATCACCATTAGGCCCCCCATTAACCTTAACTTTACGTGTGGCCTCAACATGTAAATGTCAATAGCAAAAAATAAAATAAAAACAAAATAATCCGTACCCTGACTTCGTTTCTGGTGCGCTCATCAGACGATATAACTTTTACACATTGAGACTTCTGCCAGTTGAGCTCCATTAATCTCAATTTCAACTCCATCTGTAAGTGCACACAGGAAATAATGAATCATGATATCACAGACAGAGAAAAATGAATGAAGTGCAAATAGTCTAGAAGTAGTGAATAAGACATGTGGCAAAGGCTATACAATCTGTAATACACTCAGTCAAATACACAGTAGGAGAATTCATCTTTGCAAAGTCAAACATTTAGGCTTACCTTCATGTCATTCACAACTTCTGGCACTGGTGCTACCTCATGGTGTCTGAAACAGCCAAACAAATGAGCAGGCAGTTAGTAGCAACTCGAATGACCACTCCGAGGTTGTATCTACCATTTGCCATCTGCAGTGTACATCCATGTCTGACTCAATATATGTAGTGATAACTTTGAAGTAATTTAATAAAATAATAAAAGGTATTTGTGCATTTTTTGGCAAGAAATATCACTATATTGACATGCATTATACCAGTGAATTGTTTCAGTGATAAACATGCAGTCTTCAGTTAGAGAACACTTTTACAGATGAGTACAGAGGACTTCTAGAGAGCTTAGTCACATGGTGCAACAACAATCACCTGAAGGTCAATACCTGCAAAAACGATGGACTGCAATGCTTCAAATATGGATGATGCTGCAAAGAAGCTACATTCTGAAACTAGGATGCTTCTTACACTCACACACCTTCAGCCTGGCAGCACAGATGTTCTTTACAGTCAATTTTATTTCTAACTTTAAAATGCGTAAAATCTATTTCACTGTAGAGTGTGGATTTGCTCAGCTGCCCGTTCCCCTGCACTCTCACAGAAACACAGACAACGGACCTTAACGCGGGTCTTTACAGTCCCTCCTCTCCGTGCGCACCTGACATGGTTTTCAACGCGACAACGTGATTACGCCTTTCAGTTTCCTAGCAGTTAAGAAACACACGACAAGCTGCAGCCTTTATTTACTGACAAACTAACTACACAGTACATTCAATGCTTAACTGACATTCATCGTCATTATCTGCTGCTTGTACTCCCACTACGCACAAACACCTCCGGACTGCCCTGTGCTCTTAACACAACTGGCAGAGACGCAAAGCTCCTAGCTAGTAAGGATAGCTATACTTTGTTGTAATTTATTTGTTCATGACATTATGATGTCAAAATAAAATTGACTTTTGACCCATTTCATATACAATCTCATTACTTAATTTTATCCTCTTAGATATTTGCGTGAAATGTTGTCATATTTAGTGCATGAATTCTTTGACCACCATCCTGGAGTCCAAGGGTTGAGGTTACATTTGTTCCTGAGATATCACATTCACAAGAACAGGATGGCTGGACCTACAACCTATAAACATAATGCCTCTGGCCACGGCTTTTGTGGAGGCATAAAAAGTGTGGAACCAGTGAGAGGATGTGAATTTGTGCACAGTACAAACAAAATGTGGTGCTACTTGTAAAAGCATTGTTCATAGCGCCACTAGTGGCCAAAGAACTCCACAGGGTACATTTAGAGACCATAGGAGCAATTTTCTCAAAACTGTGGGTGCACGCTTAGGTTACATACGGTCTTTTACTTCCACTCATGTTGAAAAGGTGTAAATAAATGTACTCCATGTACTCTGTTGCTAAGCAATTAATTCATCCTTGACAAAATTTCACCAGCCCTGACATTTGCTAAAACTCTTGCTTTATTGTCCATATGAATTTGTAGTGAAATCCAATGTCCTCTACTCTGGAAGAGAACTGTTTCCATTGAGCGCCTTTACCACTTTCTTTACCCAATCATCCACGGACACGTTACTTACACATAATGATAAAAAGCTAAAACAACTGAGTGTACATCGAAAATTGTGTGATGTACTGTTGAAGAAACCAGTGGACATGAGAGTTGGTACACTGCAAAAAAGTGACATGACATCAAAATGCTTATTTGAAACAAAGTAGCAAGCAATAAATTGGATTTTTTCTTCAGCCCATATCTCACCTGCTTCCCTTGTACCCTCTTATATATACACACATACACACACACTTATTTTACTTTGAAGACAGCAATGACAAATGATTACTTGTACTGTTCCTACTACACCCACAGTGGTGTTTGTAACAAAGTTTGTGATGCCATTATGAAATCATTTGTAATGGGATGAGTGAGTAATTTAGGTAATACAAGATAAAACGATGAAGTAACATGATGCTGGTAAAAGACGGCGGCATACTGATTAAACTTAGATTGGATTATCTCATTAACATTTAAGTGTGTGCATTTGCATGACAAAGACACAACACAGAAAAGCATCACTTTACTGACTGAAATAAACTGCGGTGCTCCTGTACTGATATTTTGCCCTTCTCCTATTCGCATCGCTGCATGTTCATAGAATTGACAATGTTAAAGCCCCAGTGTTCATAAGATTAATACTTATCAATCATAATCAATAAACTGTTAGGTGTTTGGTTGCTGTCAACAATGTACACTGGCAACCTGACCTGAGAAATCTCTGTGACTAATAGTTAAAACGGATTCTTAATTGGAAAGTATCAGTGCATTTCAATTACTCTGCAAAAAATAAATATATGTTTAATAACTAACCTAAAGAAATATGTGTGTAGTTTTCCTATAAAGAAAAAAGGTAAGAACACAACCAACCTGTGCGCTCTAGATTCCCTGCAGACTACACAGATGGGCCTCTTATCAGTTTGGCAGTACAATTTCAGCTCTTCTCCATGTTGTTCACACTTGCCATCTACTTTGACGGGCTTAGACTGTGCAGGACAAGACCCCAGACACTCCAGGTCGTCCAGTTTTGCCACCAGGTTCTGCACCAGGTAGTTTTTGGTGAAGCTCCGCTTGTTGAACACCTGGCAGGAACAAAGAAGGCAACCGAGAAAGACGCAGAATTGTAACCGAGCCCAAAGTCAGCATTAATGCGTGGACAGTTTCATTTAGTCTGCATTATAGCACATCATTAATAGCCAGGACACAAAGTTACTTCATTACTGTTAAGCTAACTGACCTGCTTATGGCTAGCGTTAGCAATCATAGCAACAGCAGCCACAAAATGCACTGCGTAGCCAATGTTATTTTTCAAACACAAACCGTGAACCAGCTACTTTCTATTCGCTTTTAAACACTTGAAAGTGATACTGTCACACGCGTACCAAACATAATTTGGGAGGAAAACACGGCAGGAAACACAGACAGCCTGTATGAACTTACCGTTCGGCATTGAGGGCACTGATACCCGTAGTCTCCGCCATTTTCATCCCAGTGCATGCAGATGCAAAACCGACAGAAATTATGCCCGCATTTCAGTATGACGGGGTCTTTGAAGAAGTCCAAACAAATTGCACACGTGAGCTCTTTCTTCAGGTCGTCTCCAGCTGCTCCAGCAGTAGCCATGTTTAAATTACAATCCGAAGGCAGCAGCAACACTGCCGCTGTAGGAAGTGAAGGAGGAGGTGGGAGGGAAAGGGCTCATTTGTGGTGCGTCATATTCCGTGTTAACCAATCAGACACCCTCATCTCTCTCTCTCTCTCTCTCTCTCTCTCTCTGTCTCTCTCTTCTGTTTTTTTAATTTCAATTGCTGGCATTGATGTTAATTTGAAAGCAACACCGAACACAATACTAAAAAAACAAATATAATATAATTAAGTAAACAGTCCATTGCGTTTAGAATACATTTCATAAAAAATACAAAAAATAATATTCTTTAAAACAACAAACTAGCAAACAGAAAAGGTGTGTTCCATATGTACAAAACAAGATATTGATTTGTCACATTCAGTAATATTATTTTAATGTCTGTCCCTCAGTTTGTGACATGCAGTCACATATTGTGCAGCTAGGTTTGCTGCAAGTCCCTCTCCTAATATAACCTTTAGTTTTTCATTGTCATTTAACTCTTTAAAGTCTGGCGTTTTTCACATTTTAAGAAAAAAAGATCTCTTTTTGTGTCATTCTCCCCCCCAGTCAGGTTGCAACCTGACTCATTTTCAAGTTTCCCAGGTCTCTGAAGGCTGACCATTAAAATGTTTTCTACATAGCTGAGACCAAGCACTTTCAGTAGGCAAAATACTCAAACATTTAGGTGTTTGCTGGATTTGTCCAACAATTTACAAGGTCAAAACACAAGCACTGAATGTTGCTTGCTTTCTATTCTCAAGTCAAGTCAGGTTTTATGGGTGTAAGGTCTCAGGTATGCCTCAAAGCACTGAAGTCTAATCAATCAACAAAAACCAGTAAGCAACAATATTTATTCTTAAATACATATACATAAAAACCCATTCATAAAAAGACACAAACTGAATATCAAGTTTGATTGTGCTAAAATTGTCATATACATGGGGATAACTGACTGTGGGATATACATTACATTGCATAGCTTGGATTGGCATGTGAGGGATGTGACTCAAAAAGTGCATTCAATGTCAGATATGGTGTTATTTCCAAATGCATCAGGGCCAAAAAATAATAATAAAAAAAAAAATCACAGCTTGGATTTCAGTAGCCTGTTAGTTGTATAAACCATCACATCCCTTGCTGAATCACAACTCAGCTGATTTCCGGCTCATTAGCTAGCCCTGATAAATATTGGAAATAATTATACAATGATGACTGACAACACCATAATAAGACAAATATTCAGGAACACTGATCTCAGCATGTTGTATATCCATAGCAGATTAAGACGTTTACCAACACATGTAAACAAGACATTTCACCAGTGATATCAACAAAATAATGAGACACAGATTATATCGAATGTCTCAAACGTAACATTTCTTATGGTGACATACTGATTTGTAAGCAGCTGTTTAGTTTGCATCCTTTGTTCAAAAAACGTGACTCAGAACACTGAAATCCCACACAGCACTAGTGACAAATAAAGCTCACAGGAGCATAATGTGAGAAGAATAGGGGTCAAATGATTGGATATGGATACAGTATTTGCATTTCACAGCACCACACTTATTAGCAGTGTAACACATAAGTGGAAAGTGGCTTTGTATGAGATTCTCTTCAGTCAAGAGTAGTAAATTGTTTTACACCACATGGTCCATTCTCTGTAAAAGAAATAACTCCTGAGATGAGTGTTTATATATATGTATATATATATATATATATATATACGTACCTTAACCAGTGTTATTTAAAAAAAATATTCAACATTATGTATGAATAAAATGTATAAATATGACAATATCACAGGAACACACAGTGGAGCAACACTGTGATGATGGATAACAGTAAACATTGTGGTAACACAAGGTAAAGTAAATAACTGAGTTTACAAAAATACAGACAATATTAGAAAAAACAAACAGTGGGAACAACCCAACTCAGCAGCAACAGACATGCTCAATACATCTAGTAAAACATTCCTCATCATATGGTAAGTAAAATAAAGAAAAGTAGACAGAGTGAATGAATACAATGATTAGCTGGTTAATAAACATAAATCCTGATGACAGCAGTGGTATTCATCTCCTGCAGTCTGATAAGAGAGCTCCGCAAGTTTAGTTAACAGAGGAACAAGTGGTGGGATCTTGTTTGTACAATTTTTTTTTACAATTTTTGTTACACATTGTATAATCCAGAAATGACCCAGAAAATATTTCAGCACAAAATTGTAGGCCTAAAGGCACACTTCATCTCAAAATGAATATTAGTTTACCTAATGCAGTCTCCTAATGCAGTCTTTCATGTTTTGTGGCCAAACACTTAGCTATAATAAGTCCAATGTTTACCTTTAAATTCCCAATATTTCCCTAAATGATATTATCCTGGCAATGAATGGACAGTAGGTGTTTTAGGTGATTATAGTGGAAATACTTTTGCAGCCATAATGCAGTCGTTAAGATACTAACAGGAGTATATTGTACAATCTGTGTGCAGACATAAATTAGATCCTTTGCAAGCTGTGGAAAAGATGGTCTTGTTGCCTTGGGAGATAGACAAAAGTATCTTACAAACTTCAGAGAAGTTCTGACTGACATAGGGGCAGGACGATAATATCGTGATGAGTGTTCTTTTTGAGGTGAAGTATTCCTTTTAGTATGAACATTGACATCATCGAGTCCCCTTTACCCCAGATACACCTGCAGCACTAAATCTCTGACTTGGCCTGCGTGACACTACCTTTATGAGAAAAGTGCTCTCCGTGACTGTCCTGAAGGGATATAGCTGCTTCAGGCACTTTAACACCATAAAGCCAGTAAGAGAGAGGAAATACCATGCTACTAGCAGCACAAGTTGGAATGTTAAGTGAAGACAGCGTATAGGACTTTCGTGCTGTTTTCTGGTGCAGTGATCAACGTACATAATGGATCCCATACTGTAGAAATCCCCCCCCAACTAACAAGCACACACACACGCCCAATAATGCATGGGATCAATCTCAGATTTTTGGTGTTATGAAAGTAATTTAATACCAGTTTAAGAAAAAACATCCAAAATTTTACAAAAGCCCCCACATCTTCACCCCTTTGTCCATCTGTCCATCCACATATCCGTTGCTCAAACCTCTGAGCTGTTGTGGCAGTCTTGCATCCTCACCACCAACATGGGCTCCGTACTGACAGACCCTTTCACCACCTCCTGCACCCCCTCCCTCCATCCCTCCTTCCCATCCTTCTGTCTGGATCTCAGCACGAGTATGATGGTGACAATAATGAGGACAGTCAGCAGCAGCCCCACCAGTGCCCCCACAACAGTCACCAGACCCTCCTCCTCCTCCTCTGCGTTGAGCTCACTAGGTTCCAGCCCATCGGGAAACAACTCATTTGGCCCCCCTGCCCGACGCTTGGTGCGGTCCAAAGTAATGTGCATGATATTGGTGCCACGGTTGTTGTCCACACCGATATCCTCAGTCACCTCTGGGACTTCATCGCCAGCTGATCTCCTGGAGCGATGACCTCTGCTGCTTGACGAGGTCAAGGCGAGATCGTTGCTTGTGGAAACCAGGGAGTGATACTCTAGGCTGCGCTTTCCAATGCCTCTGTTTGCATTCTCTTTGGAGCGGACTGTGTAAATGGTGTGCATGTACCACTCACGGCCTGCAGCAACCTGAAGAAAACACAAAATAACAGAAAGCAAACAGAATTGGTTATGAGTCCAAAATGAGCATGGCTTGCAAATATAATTATCTACATTAAGTTTTAATAAGATTTGACTGAATTTATTTGATGATTAAAAACATAATAACTCTGCACTGCAACTCAGCAGTAGTACAATCATCGAGATTGAATCACAATAAAGATTCATGACTACCCCCCATTGTGGTCCTCTAACATACAACAAATGTCACAATACAACATAAAACCCTAACACCAGACGAAGCAGAACATACAGTACTGTACATACAATAGGCGAGGGGCAAAGCCTGCATGTTCCAAGCTCTTGGCTTTGCAACTATATTTCACAACAGCACATATAAAGTAAAGCTTTTTGAGTTTACTTACTACTGTAGCTGCTGGTTCACAATAAAAAAAATGTCCATTGGCTATAAGGAATAGTAAGCTGTAAAATACCTGGAACATGGCTGTAGAGTCCAACCTAAAACCATCAGACCCTGGCTGTTTGACGAGGGACATGGCTGATGGATCATCCACTGCCAGCACTGCATTAAAAGCAACATCGCCAAACCCACGTGCCTGAGTCTCTGGCTGTGCCTTGTCCTGGTGAGGTGTGTTAGATTGAGGGGGAAAAAAGGAAGGACAGGCATTATTTTTAGTGTTGATTGTAAAATATTATTTTGCATCTCTCCGTATTAAAAACCTGAATATGCTCACAAGAATCTTGAATCTGTAGAGCAATGACGGGGAGTCAGCAAGGCAGCCAAATTCAAACTTGGTTGGGTTGTACTTTGGTACATATCCATCAGCACCAGTGCAGAGGAACACCTTCTCTATGCTACAGAAGAAAGAGTCTCCCAGGTTCTGCACAGGGTCCACCATCACACGACCGTAGATCGTATCACCTGACATAAAGGAAGAGAACATAATTGTAAAGCCCACACAAAGTCATTATTATAAACCTTACTTAGAAACCCAAGCAAGATAGGATATTTAATATGTAAATAGAAATTAGTGTGAACGGCTATATTGGTGGGATCTTTTAGCTGATGAACTACAAATCCATGTGCAAATATCCACAGAAAACCATAGCTTTTAAATTGCATTTCTACCTTTTAAAGGTCCAGTGTATAACATTTATGAGGATCTATTGGCAGAAATGCAATTTTCATTAGTGTATAAACCCCTGAA